CAGGTTTTAAAAAATATATCTGGTGGCTTATATTGGTGTGGTAACAATGGAGTAGAAAACAAATGGACATTTTTGGGATAAGATATTTAGAAATCAACTAGGGCAAACTTGCTGATGGATTGGATGAGGAAGGTTAAAGAGAAGGGTCAAGGACAACACCTAGGTGTTTGACTTAAGCTAGATGGATGGTAATGCTGTTGACTGAGATTAGAAAGATTTGGGGAAGAAAAGAATTGAAGGCAGATGATGCTAAGAGTTCAGTTGGGGACCTTATGAGTTTGGGATTCCAATTAGACCTATGAGTAGAAATATCAATTTGGCAGTTGGATATTTAAGCCTTTACTTCTGGGCCTAAGAAAGTACGGATTTTAGAAGTAAAGTTATGAATTTCAGAATCACCTATGTATATTATTTTGATTCCTAAGGAAAGAGTTGATGAAGAAGTGAAAAGAACCCTGAAGATGTCAAAGATTAGAGACTGAACAAGGGAAGATCCAGCAAAAGCATCCAAGAGGGAATGCCCAGTAGAGCAGGATAAAGACCAGAAGAGTGTGACACCATGGAGTTAAAAGAATAAAAAGTGATGCAAGTGGAACAGAGTGATAAGTTGTCAAATTCTGACAGTGTGCCTAAGATGACACAGAATTGACTCTTGCCTTTGACAATATGGATGTCACTGGTGATGTGGGTAAGAGTACCCTCAGTGGAGTGGTAGGGATAAGTGATAGGGTAGTTCCTGGAATGGGCTTGGGAAAAGCTGGGAGGAGAGAAAGTGGACTCAGAAAATATAGACAAATCCATCAAGATGTGTTGCTGTAAAGGTGAAAAGTGACATGTGATGGTAGATGGAGTGATGTAGTGAAAAACAGAAATGGATATTTCAGGAAGGGAGAGGACAATTGCAGGAAAATGATTCCGATTCAATTTTTCCACAAAATAAAAGGGATTTCATGGAATGATATAAATTCAGTGAAGTTAATTTGCATTAACTAACAATTAATTAGTATTGAAAAGCAGAAAGAGTTTCAATCAGCTTCTGTTTCCTATAAGGAATGTGTCAAGTTCACCGTTGAGAGTGTGGGAAGAGGAGGATGGATACAATGTTTGAGAAGAGAGACAGTATAAAATAGTTGTTTTAGAGATAGAAAATATGTAAATGTTATGAAATCATCGTAGGAAAATTTTAAAATGATTTTGCTGTCTCCATGTGAAATTAAAACAACAAATTCTAAACCATATATGAAGAAGTTCAACAATATTCTACTTTTTCTAACAGTGACTATTTTGAAATTTTCTGAAAAATCAAATGTCAAATTCTTTAACAATCTAAAACTTTATTCAATGTCCCTACATTGCTTATGTCCTAAGCATTTTATGGTATGTTTATTAGGCCTTTCTAAAATAGGGAGAGAGGCTGAAGAGAGAATAAAATGGCCAACCATATTGAAGGAAGAGGGTCATACAGGACAAAAAACGTACAGAAACAAAAACCTAGGATTTTAAAGAGTATATGCTCCTACTCCTCATTTTGCTTAGGATCAATTTAGAAAATGCAGTTACAGCTATGCCCTGTTTAACTGGCAAAAATGGGAAGAAATATTTGCTGCCATTCAATTAAAATAGAATCGACAGTACTCCTATAGCCAATGATTCCAGACACTGCCATCATCTGATTTGGGTGCCTTTTCCACAAGTACAGAGCAAGACAGATAATAGTAGGAAGAAATACTAGCAATTTATTTATTAAAAAACAGAATTTTAACTACTGACAAATTAGATACACTATAGAAGGAAAGTATATTGAAAAATATAAGAAGGCATTTTATTAAAACCATAGTTAGGTACAGATTGGTGCTATCTAATTTATTCATGCATATTTATTAAGTACCTATTATGTATCTGGCACTGTGCTAGATATTAGGTTCATATGAAACAGTACATTCAATTTTCTGGAATGAAGTTGTGCTTTCTCAATGCTAAAGTGAAAACTGACTATAAAATTTGATCTGTAGGATCAGAAGCAATCCAAGTGTATTAGTCTGTTTTCACACTGCTATAAAGACATTACCAATGATGGGGTAATTTATAAACAAAAGAGGTTTAATTGATTCACAGTTCCACATGGTTGGGGAGGCCTCAGGAAACTTACAATCATGGCACAAGGGGATGTCTTACATGGCAGCAGGTGAGAGAATGTGTATGAAGGAGGAACCTCCAAATACTTACAAAACCATCAGATCTCATGTGAACTCACTCACTGTCATGAGAACAGCATGGGGAAAACTCTCACCACTCCCTGAATTGTAATTGGGGACTACAATTCAAGATGAGATTTGGGTGGGGACACAAAGCCTAACCATATCACCAGTGCATCTATACCACATATGCCACTATAGTGAGATTCAGGAAGCATGGATGGTCTGGGCCCGTTTTTCACATACCAAATGAGAGCTTTGGATGAGATAATCTTGAAAACCTCTAGACATTCTAGCTCAAAAAGAATATATTGTTTGGTGAGCTTTATTGAAGCCCTCACCAGCAGCTCTGAAATGATGGCTAGTTTCCCAAAGACAGCCGCTGCTCAGATTTAATTATGGGTATATTCTAATTGCCATATATGTGTGTGTGTGTGTGTGTATATATATATATATATATATATATATAATATACAGTATATATATATAAATATACTGTAATGGAGGTTAAGAATACCAAATACCATTTCACTGGAACCATTAATAATCTTTCAGTTGCGTTTCTTCAAGACAACTTTGTAAGTTAAATTTTGTTATCATTTTTATCTTAGAGGTAAAGGAAACTCAGCCTCACAGACATACAACCAGCTGAGTAAGCAGCTGAGCCACAGTATATACCCAGATCTTCTGAGTCAAAGTCCAGTGCTCTCAACTAAACACACTGCAGTAGGCTTCACTTTTCTGTTCAAACTATGTGAAACCATAGAGAAATAATCACTATCATAGTCAAGTGCTTTAAAAAAAGTATTTGTATATTTGGCACTGTATTTGTACATATCTGTAAGGTACAATCTGATATTTCAGTACATAGCTATGTTGTATAATGATCCAATCAAAGTAATTAGTGTAGCCATTACATCATGCATTTATCATTTCTTTGTGGTGAGAACATTCCAAAGGCTATCTTCTAGCTGTTTTGTAATATGCAGTGTTTTACTGGTAACCACAGTCACCCTAGTGTGCAACAGAATATCAGAATTCATTAGTTGAATCTAATTGATACTGTACCTGTTGACCAACCACTCCCCGCCTTCCTACCCCCTTCCCCTCCCGTCTCTGGTAACCATGGTTCTACTCTCTGCTTCTATTATATCAACTTTTTTTTTTTAAGATTCCACATGAAATCACATGGTATTTTCTTTCTGTATCTGGCTTATTTCATTTAACATGATGTCCTCCAGGTTCATCCATGTTGTCACAAATAGCAGGATTACATTTCCTATGGCTGAATAATATTCTATTCTTTATATATATATTTTCCTTCTCCATTTGTTGTTAGATACTTAGGTTGATTCTATATCTTGACTCCTGATACCTCTGCAATAAACATAGGAGTGCAGATAGCTCTTTGAAATACTGATTTTATTTCCTTTGGATATATACTCAGTAATGGAATTTTAGGTTCCTATGGTAGATTTTTAAAAAAATTTTTGAAGAACCTCCATACTTTTTTTCTGTAGTAGCTATACCTAGTCAAGTGCTTTTGAAGCATTTTTAAATTAGAAAACCCAAAATGTGTAAGACACGCATTAAAAAAAGAAAGATATTAAATTGTCCATTTGTAATCCTCTACCCAACTCAATCCCAACACTGGCCTTCTAAGAAGAGTGAATTATTGCTCACCTCGTCCGCCACAGGGATATATTTTTGCTTCTTGAGGGAGCAAGTAAAAAGGATAATTGAAAGATACCAAAAGAGTATATAATTGATCTACGTAAGAAAGGCAGCCTAAGGGAAAAGAATTTGCAGAAAATTATGAGATCTGGAGAGGCTATGGAATGAAAAGGATTTTACATCAACAGATATCATGATTTGGAGGATTTTGAGGAGAGAGATGAGCTATGAAGAATTTTAATAAATTTTTGCCAAAACTGGCTGCAAAGCAGCCTCATTTTACATAAAACAAATGAGTCAAGATTTTTGACTGAAGTGTCCAAAGACACAGCCTGGCCAAATATACTTAAAACAAACCGCTTCCATGGGAAACTATTTCCTTTTCATCTTTACAGACAAATTAATTATTTTAAAGTAAAGCAACTAGAATCAGGCTTAGCTCTGAGCACAGGCAGGTGCTTACTTGAGGTAATAATTGGGAAGTTAGGAGATGGTCTTCCTGCAGATGCCTTTTCCAACACTTTATATTAGTGAAGACATCATCAACAGAGACTATAACCCTTTATTTCACAGTTAAGAATTAATTTGGTCTTCTACAATGAATTACAAACTCTACCAATATATGTACTCAATCATAAAATTTAAATATGGTTGCATATAACGGCAGTGCAATGAAGGCAAACCATCTCTCTACCCCACTGAATATTTAGCAGGGCTACAGATGTCATAATACTGGATTTAGGCCAACTTTATACAAAATTGAGTGTTTCTATTAAGATAGTAAGACATAAAAATAATTAAACAATATGATTTTACAACTTGCATCCTGAATGTCTACAAATACGTTTATGTGTATATAGTACATATCTATATGTTTGAATATTCGCTTATATACACATATGTACATATATGTCTAACAATGCACTATATAGTTGAGATGGAACTAAACAAAAAAGGTAAATGTAATTACAACATTAAAATATATTCAAAGGAAAAGAATATGGAGATAGCAGAGAAATATACTCATGCTATCAAACTGGCAAGTGAGTTGAGTTTGTAATTTGATTAAACCTAAATTCTGAGGGGAAAATAATTTGAAATTTATTTGAAATGTGTTTGATGTTTTCAAAGGGCAGGGAAAGCTGAAGACCCACAGCTCCCCAAAATGAGGAGAAAAAGAAGAAAAGCCTGTAAGAAATGGGAAATCTTGAATACCACACTATGTAAGTCCAATTGAATAATTTTCTAAGTACATATAAAATGAACTTATTAGTTTATGTACTTCCTTCTTTATCACAGGACTGTCTATAAAACTAGGAAGATAAAAACATAAATATAAAATGATTTTGAAGCTTAGCCTATAGTTATTTATATACTTCTGCATTAATGATATTATAAATAATAAAAATCTAAATAAAAATAATTCTTTATTCCCACATGGACTAACTATTAAGACCCCTTACTCTTAGAATCTGTTATCCATGCATTATTATGTAACTTTCTCTGGTCTATATCCCTTTTTGCAGAAATTAAAATGCCGTCAATTAAAAGGGGCCATAAAATATGAAATTATAAAATTGAAAGGGAGTATAAACAGAATGGCTCCTGCATGACATGAAGATGTTATTTGAAGAATAAATTGTAATAATCAGTTCTGGAAGGTAGTCCATTGGTCTATAAACTGTTATTGTGTCCATGGTCTATTGCAAATGGCCTTTAAGAGATAGATCTGCATGTCTTTTCTCTTACGACCTCATATTACGGATCTCAGATTGTGACCAGACCCATTGGAAACTGTTGCAGTACCTGCTAAGAGGGAAGATCATCCTTCAGGCTAGAAGAGAGGCAATGGGAATGGTCAGAATCCTCAAGGGACTTTAGTATGCTCAATGCTTTTCTTTTTCCTGTTGAATTTATTCTCTATATAAGTATTTATATAATTAGAAACATTTTATGTAAAAATTTATAAGTATAAATAAAAGTCATGTTTAAGTCAAAAACATTTAAAATAAATGTACAAATAGTCCATACCAATTTTAAACTTAATCAACTTGTTTAAAATATCCTTTTGACACCAGGTTCATCAATTTTTATGATGTAATTATTCACTTTTCCCTATTCTTTCTTAACAAATAATCTCTTTCAGATGTAGTTTAAAACAGAATTTGAGATCTTTTTGTTCATTGTTTTTTACACAAGCTCTGGTGCCTCATGCTCAGGTTCACAAGTGTCTCATAGGAATATATTTTAATATTATAAAACAGAGGAGTACAGGTTCCAAACTGGCAGCTCTTGGGCCAAAGCTGGTCCCTAAATATATTGGCCTTCACCTATAGAAGGTAATCTTACAAAAAAATTTTTGAATCAATTCTTAGAAATTAAGAGATTTCACAGTATAGAAAAAATCCAGACTCTAGTTCTCTTCTGAAAAACAAGAGGATCTGGTAACATTAGGACACCTTTCCACATGGCAACTATTGGCCGGAGCTGAATAGCAGAGAATATGTATACCGAGCCTGCTTCACTTGTTTTATGTTACCTGTCTAAATGCCACAGCCATTTGAGGTTGTGAACCTTTCTATAAAAAGCCCAGGTCAAAGGATACTACTGGACAGGTTTGAAAGTCTGTCTAGAAGCCATACTTCTGTTTCTTCCATTCTTTTTACCCACATCTTCATTTGTGGTACCATCTCAAATTACATTGCGCTTGACTCAGCCTGTAGTATAACGCCATGTTCAAATACCTGATCATAGCAAGCTGTTCTTTACCAAGACTTGCACTTAAAATTTAGTTGCATATATTTCTTGTGAAATTTTCATTTCACCCACTCTTGGAAGTTGCTGTTTTAGAGTAAGGCTTAATTAAATTCTTACTTCCTAAAACTACCAGGTGATATTTCTACACTCTAAGAGAATTGGTTGATTTTATATGATATATTTATTATAAATGAATTTATAATAAATTTTATAATTTATAATTATAATAAATAAACTTTTGTGAAAAATACTTTGACATACCAGAAATGAATGAAAACTGATACCCAAAATACTTACAAAGGATTTGCATTGCACTTTATTCTAGAATTTGGAACATCTGTTCTCTAAATGGACACATAAACCTTTTTATTTTATATTATTTTGCTTCCTCTTTAGGTGTATCTCAGCCTGCTGGTCAAGCATGCCAAGAAAATATCAAAGCTCTTGCAAAGGAAGTCAAAGGAGACACCTTGGAGCCTGTGTTTCATCAGGCTGGGGCATTAGGGAAATCTAAGGAAAATGGAGATGAGAGTACGTCTGCTTCTGTGAATGAAAAGCAGAATTCTTCTTTTCTCCCTAAAGATAAGAAACAGCATCCATCTGACAGCAAAATACCTAGGAAGAAGGGAAATGATGATCCTCCTTTGGCTGCCTCTCATTAACTGGAGAAAGTCTTATCTATGATCATATTTAATGCCTATGGAGAATCATTACGAGAAAACATTGTATTACAGAATCTCCCAGGCACAACAGAAGTCTTTAACCCAGCAAAAGGCAAATTTATTACGGAAGTGAAATGTGGGGCTTTCAATGTGCAAATAGAAATCAAGAAAAACTTTTTCTGTAAACCAGGGATACAGTTCCCAACAAAAAAAGAGACGTCCAAAATGTGGCCAGCGTTTCTCTATCATACCCATTCAGAGATGCTACACTTCAAGGAGCTGCTTTCCTAAACATAGGGATATACTGTTGGAAGAACTAAAACCTAAGGTGCCCTGTAAATATGAGGGAGAAATCACCAGAGCCAAGAGCCCCTTGTTGAAAGTAAGCATTGAAAGAAAAGAAAGTTAACTACATGAGTAAGACACAGAATATATTAATTAATATAACTCATTCCAAAAGAAAGGAAAAAGTAACTAAGTACAGAAATATTTCCTCCAATCACACCACCAAAGAACCTTTCAGGTTTCCATCACAGTCTAGTATTAGGCACCCTGAAATGTGGCAGCATGAAAACAAGCATCAGAGTTCAGATTGTTTGTGTGTCTCTCCTCCTGGTGTGTGTGCTGCCCAGGAGGAGAATTGTTTGTGTGTCTCTCCTCCTGGTGTCTGTGCTGCCCAGGAGAAGAATGTTGATACAGCTGTGATTTCTCTAACCTTAACTCTGGAGAGAAAGAAAAATAAGCCTGACACACTGTCTACAGTCTTAGATGATTGTGAGGTAGAATCTGCTATCTCTCGGCAGAAGGTCTTTAAAATTAGTCAGAACACCCCCAGAAAGAAACATTTCTCCGAGTCTAAGACTCTTCTCAAAAAATTCTTCCTACTTCATGTAATACCCCAAAGATCACAAGTTTAAGTAATGCAGATTTAAGTAAAATACCTTTTGAGGATTCTAAGGATATGGAAAAAGAGAAAAATCACCTTTGATATCCTAGGAAATATCACATCAGACACACATACAGCAAAGCACAGAAGGAATAAATTATTTGCCAAGTACCATTACTGACATCATTCCAGTTCAAGATGGCAAAGGCTTCAACTTCAGTTCTTCATCTTCTGTGAGCATGCAGCTCATAGGAACAAAGACAGCCAACATCTACTGCAAAGGAAGCAAGACTCCACCTGCAGAATGCTGTGAGAAGTCAAATTCTGTATCTTTCCCTTCCAGTCAAACTACTCTGCAGTCTTGCACCTCATTCAGCCCACCTCACTGGGCCACCAGACATTCGAAACCTAAAGAAAACCCTGGGAGTACATTTTCTTTTCATCATTGTGCTGTGTGTGTGGTAGATTATGAGAAGGGGCACGTTGATGTGACTGACAGAGACTTTAACAAAGCCATTTTACATAATGACTCTCCTGCAAAAGCACAGCAACACCGGAAAGGAAGATTACACCATGTCTAAATCTCAGGTCCTGCCTCTTGCAGCAGCCTAGCAGCTAAGAGCACACTCAATAGTATTAGCCACAGCATGATGGCATGGAATCAGAGTCTCAGGCAAGTCATCCAGAGATAGCAGCCCCTAGCAAAAAAAATAAGTGCTAGTTATGACCTTCATAACTGATGAGTTGGAACAAAAAGTAATTACTCAAGATGATAAAGAAACAGTTTATTCTAATTGTACTATGGGAATGAAAAACCCTAAACAGTCACCCAGCTCTCTGGAAAATTTTGAAAAAGACAAATGCCAGATAATACCAGTGGTGAAGAAAGCATGCCACAGAGATTCTGAAGACCTGTTAAATGAGAATCATGACGAAGTCGGTTTTCAAATGTATTTTTCAGCAAACACTGCTGAGTCCAACTGTGCAGTGTGCTTCAGATAATCTATTTCTTATTGAGAAAACACTGACGAACGATGTGGACCTACATGGTAAGCAAGATAAAAAAAAGCATTGGACTAACTAGTTTTAAACAGTAGCCAACACGGTGCCAAAGGATTGCATCAACAAGGCCAAATTCTGAAGAAGATAAGAACAAAAGTGACTCAAAGGAAAATTACTATCATCAAATACACATGTTGATGTCACCTCAGAAGCAAGCTTTGAAAGGTATGGTGGGCTATACAGAATCATTACCTTGCATTATTTTTACATATTTTAGCTTTAGAAAGTCTTAAGATGAGGGCTTTTTTAATTGCTTGGGATATTTTCTTTATTGCTAAAGATATATTGTATATTTTAGAGTTAGATGAACACAGGCAAGCATATATCAGCCTGTTTCTTTACATTATCACCCACTCCACCCATAAATAGTGCATCTCCAAGCATGCAGTTTAATGTAAAGTAAAAAAAAAAAAAAATCAATTTCTCTTCAAAAGGTTGATATATTGCCAAATCAACTTTTTAGGAAATGTTAGCCTTTTGCCACTCTTAAATAATCCACCATTTCTTTCTTTCTTGCAAGCTAAGCATGTTCAGAAGAATAGGAAGAATATGTTTGTAATAAAACATATTTTCAAACCTTGCTGTGGTGTTGCAGAAGCATTGTACGTATGTCTCGAGAGGCCATGTGGAATAGTAATTAAAACAAAGGACAAAAAACAGAAACGACCATGCCTAATCCTCATTGAGCCACCATGGGGCCTCTAACCTCCAGCAGACCTCTGACCTCCCTTGTGCATTACTTGGACCAGATCAAACTGTTGATAGAACCCAGAAGCTCTCCAGACCTCAAGAAGGGCTAAGATGGAAGTTCTTTCCTAAGTACATAATTCTGCCTGTCTGCTTTCAATCTTGGATCACCACTATATCATTTTGGTTACTTCACAGAAGGCCCTTGTTTTTTTCAATGAGTCCAAATTATTTTATATTTAATGTTAGCATTATTCCATATTATAAATTAAATTACATTTTGAATGAGTAAAAACTGTCTTCCAAACTGCTGGCAATAATCCTAATAGCCTCAGAAACGATATTTGGAATGATAAAACTTAAAGGAGAAGCTATAGTTTCTTTGTAGTTCAATCTCTAGATTTTTAAATAAAATTAGTAAAATTTAGAAGTAGAAATAAAATACAAAAAGGATAATCAATTGCCTGTTAGAATAAAAGGTGAAATTTGCTTTGTAAAGAGTAAATGCTCCAGAACAGTATGGAAACTCTATGGTCATCTGCTTGATATGAACACCCTAAAGCAAGGACCGTCAGTCATGGGGACAGCTTCCTAGTGCCAATATTCATCCAGAAATCAGGATCAATGACATTAATCCCAACATTGGCTTCAGTCTACAGTTATTTGGAACTGCAAGGGAACCTGCAATAAGAACAATTGTGCCTCCCAAAGGAAACACATGCTCACCTGGATGAATATCTCCCAAGTTGACTCTACTTCTAAAGCCATGTTCCTCCCTGTACATGCCTCTCCCAGCGAGGAACATTTCTTAAGAAAATAAATAATTCAAGTCAGAATTCTCTCAAAGCTGATCTTACACATCAGTAGACTTTGAAACTGTCCCATTTGGTAAATAATTTCGGCCACTGGTTCCCTGTGTTACTGATTCATCAAAAGGCTGTTCCTACAACTCTCTCCCTGGATCCTTTTCCTTGATCACTCTTCCAGCCACATTGACCTTCCAGCCCAGATCCACATCAGGCCCTTTGCATGGACTGCTCCCACCACCTGGACCAGTCTTCCCCTATATGTCTACATGATTCATTCTCATCTCCTTTAGATTTTTGCTCACACAGTGTGTTCTCAGGAAGGTCTTCTCAGACCACTCTACTTAAAATTGCAATCTGTACCATCTTCATTACAACCCAAGCAAACGCCATCCTTTTGTTCCATTTATACATAGCACATTTTTGCCTTCTAATTTGTTATATATTTTGCTGGTTTATTTTGGTTTTGTTCCGTCTTCTTTCACTAGAATGTAAGTTCCAGGAGGGCATGAATTTTTCCTGTTCTGATCATTGTATATTCATAAAATTAGATAATACCTGTCCTGTAGTATAGTTGCTCAAATATTTATTGAATAAAAAAATCAATGCAGGGAAGTCACATCAGGTTTCTTTGTATAGTATTCTGTTTATAGACCAAAATAAATAACAGAAAAAAGGAAATAGTTCAGCAGTTATATTTATATAAAAATATTTAAATCTATAAATGTTTGCACAGATTTAACTCTCCTAGAACTATGAGTATTTTTATACTTTATTCAACATTATTGTCTTTATGCTACTGATATCTCAGGCCAGAAGTGTGTAATTTTTTCTGGAAGTAGGTTGCTTTGAGAAACTGGGACACTTTTGGACTCTTTTACCAGAAAATTATAAATTTTATATAGGCACAAACCTATGCTTACATTTTGAAAAGGGGTCCTCTAACCCCTTAATATCTATGCATGTGTCTCAGATTCAGAGTCCCTGACATGAGTGCTCACTGTAATCTTTGTGTTGTTTCTTCTACCATGTGTGTGCGTTTAGGAATCAACTAGATTAGAGGTCACAATGTGAACTGTCTACAGGGCCAGGCAGGTGATGTAAATGAGTAAAACAGGCTGTATGTGACCAAGTCTGGAGTGTTGGTGAACTTGCGAGTGTGTCCTAAGGGAAGCAAAACACAGGTCCAGTACAGACAGGCCTTCTGACTTTTCCAGATGGCAGGAGACCTGGATTTTCTAATGTATGAGTCTGCACGTCATGAGATTTGGGAGACACAGAACAAAGTAAACAATCTGTGAACTCGGAACTAGATAAACAAAAGGAGGTGGGTGTGGTGTGGGGGTGTGGCAGGAATAGCCACCATCATGTTATAAAGGGATGCTAGTCAAGGTTTCAATAACTAAACACTGAGTTTCTCTGCCAGGTAAGGGCTGTACATTAACGGGTAAAAAGGGAGTTGCTCAAGGATTTATTCATTCAGCTGTTAATGGAGTGAATATATCTTTAAGAGTTCTGCCAAAGAACTAGAAATTCTATATCATAAAAAAATGTAATGAGGAAACCAAAAGAAGGCTAGCCTGAGAAAATTACAGACAATAAGAAGGATCAGATGATATTTTACATGGCATAGAAATAGTCATGAACAGCCCTTGTATGTAATATAACACAAAATTTACATACAATATATAAAATGTTTTATTTCTCCTAAAGTAGGAGTGATTCTAAGAGTTCACATCAAGACAGAAAGGTAAGGAGAACTGCAAATCTGAGAAAGTTTGTGGTCCCAAGTTCTGCACCAAGCACTGGGAATAAAAAGATGAATAATAAATGATTTCTTTTCTCATAGCAGAATATGACTGTTGGGATAGTTTCCAGCAAGCTGACTTCTGGTGAAATTAGGAGCTTTCGACACCCATGCCCACTTCAACATTTCTCAGCACATGCACAGCCCAAGATCCAGTTTCAGCGGCAATGCCTTGCTTTTCTCCAGCAGGGCTCCTCCCAGATCTGCTTCTTTTTCATGGTCTTCCCACTCACTTCCCAGGCCCTGCCTTGACTTTTAAAGTCATAGCTTTCCACTTTCACACTCATGTTTGCTATCTCAGTCCATCTGTGCTGTTATAGCAACATACCAGAGACTGGGTAATTTATAAAGACCACAAATTTGCTTTTTACAGTAGTGGAGGCTGAGAGGTCTAAGGTCAAAGTGCCAGTATTAAGTGTCTGGTGAGGTATTAAGTGTCTTGCCGCTACCTGTTGCTGCGTCCTCACATGGCAGAAACGTAACATCAAATAAAATCTTAATTCTAACTCACCAAATTGCTTTCTAGGTATTATATGTTCTCCTATTTGGGTTTTCTTTTTACTTTTCTCAGCTTTTTTTTTTTAAAAAGGTTGATTGTATGGCAGTAGTTTGGGGTTTTTTCCTTCTAGTTAATACACTGTGTCATGATTTCGTGGTCTGTGATGACAGAAAGCAGCAGTTTGGAACTAAAGTACGTCAAGTTGTTATTGATTCAAATATAAAATTAACAGAGCCTTCATGCATTTTGGCTTTTTTTCACTTTTCTTCACTTTTAGCCAACATATGCAGCAAAAGTGTTATGAAATTTGTATACTCCTGATTAATAAAAGTCAAACCCTAAGTACTTGAGTTTAATAGAAAACTCAGTATCATAGATTATAATTCCACAGGCTATTCAGGTAATAATATTTTATTTCTTTACTGAGCGTTTAGGGGACATAGTTAAAAATATACTTGTATTTCTCCACAGTAACTAATAGAGCATCAAGCATACTGCTAATACCCTAGGAACACCCGTTGAATTGAATCCACGGAGGCAATGCTTGGTGATCATTCTCCCCACCTTTTTCTCCCATATAAGCCTTTTTTTTTTTTTTAAAGACACATGGCTCTTTTTGCTAAGTAATACAAGTTTGAAAGTGAACCATGAAAAATTTGAATGAAATTATTCTAGTCCTAGTCTACTGTAATTATATGTTTCATTGACTGGACTACATGGTAATATCTTGACTGATCTATCTTGAAAATGTTGTCTCACTTTCATATTTAATGTGTTTTAATCTAGATTGGTATTTGGAAATAAATAATGTCCAAAAGTTATCCCAGGAATTGGTTCTAAAAGTTGGAAGAGCTAGTGATGATTCCCAGGAAGAAGCAACTGACCAGTGGGCCAGGAGGAGGCAGCCATACAAAGGCAAAAGACCCAGTTCGGCAGTGGGGAGCTCATTTGCCAGCAACAGCACAGAAGAATCCAGTGAGTAGACAGCCAGCTTCTTTTCCAAAACCATAGTAAATGCAATGACTTACTGAAATGTAACCAGTCTCTCATCCCTTTATATCAAGAACGTAAACTCTTGCTTGAACATGGCAACACAGAGATTATAAGCTTTTATACAAAACATATTTTTGGAATCATCAACTATTATCCACTAAGGAATTTCAGCTTAGTAAATTACTTTCTTGAAAACACACAACTGCCTGGTAAGGGCTGCTTTTCTCTTGATACTAAAAAAAACTAACCATAGGGTCCTTTATTGAATTATATTTGTATCCTATTTCTAGAAATTTGAGCTGGCTTACAAAAATATGTATAAAAGAATAAGAGAAATGTGTTTAATTATAAGCAACATTTTTTCTTCTAATTTTAAAATTTCTTAAATGAGTGAGTCTGTTTAACTGGATGTATTCTTGATAATATTTCTCTTTCTGTTGAGAGTCTATTATTCTACCAGTATTAAACCTCAGTTACACAGTCAGTGGCAACTGAGAATGAAAGATAGCTCATTAGGAAATCCAACTGAAGGGAAAACATGGGCTAAAAAAATAGAGGGGGGATTTGTACACTTAGCACATACTACCACTAACTTGGCTCTAAGATTCTAACGGCTAAAGTTGTTAAAAGATACTTTTCCAACGAATAGACATTTTCTATTTACATATTATTTACAAAAACAACCCAGTTATTGAGGAAAACACAGATACTGAAATGAGCAAATTTCATTAAAGAGAGAAAAGCAAAGGACAGTATCATGATTATAAATCATGAGAATAATGTCTTTATGAAAAGACAATAGTGATTGTCCTAGGTTGTGCCAATGACACAAGTACAATTCATGAAGGCAGTGGTATAATTTATTCAGAGCAAGTTAGAAAGTTGGCACAGGTTAGGGATTGAATGCAGCTGTAAATGTGTGGGCAAAGATTATAAGTAATTTAAATAATTAAACACAGTACTGTATTATCACCACCACAGGCTTCTTATATTTGTATGAACAGTGAAGAATCCAATTTAAATGCTCCATTTTGTCCTGACTATTTTTATTCTTGTTTCTTAATCAATCTCTTAGTCTTCCAGTGGCTTCTTCCTATTTGGCAGCAAAGACCCAAGATCTGGAATCCTACATTTGTATTTTGACATATACTACTTTATAAAGTTGTTTTATTATCTCCTGATTGTTTATACGCCCTTGGAATACCTCCCTGAAGAATATACTTCTTATATTAGACTTCCAATAAAATAATCCCACTGCTAAACATTTGTTCTAATGTTCATTTTCTTCCGCTTCTATTTCCCTTTCCCCTTATCAACTGCTGTGTTTACATATTCTAGAATTTAGTGTGTGTATCTATATATATATGTAATTTTTAGACAGAGTCTTCCTGTGTCCCCCAGGCTGGAGTGCAGTGGTGCAATCTCGGCTCACTGCAACCTCCACCCCCGGGTTCAAGTGATTCTCCTACCTCAGCCTCCTGAGTAGCTAGGATTACAGCCATGTGCCACCACGCCCAGCTAATTTTTATATTTTTAGCAGAGATGGGGTTTTACCATGTTGGTCAGGCTGGTCTTGAACTCCTGACCTCATGACCTCCCTGCCTCAGCCTCCCAAACTGCTAGGATCACAGGCGTGAACCACTGCATCCAGCTTACATATATTTTTAACAATAGTTTGACTACATTTAATATATTTTAGTAATTTTTCCTCACCATTGCTTTTTGTACCAATTATTTCTAACAGGAATTATTTCATTTTCCTTTTTAACTAAGCAATCTTCTAATATTTTTTTCAAAGAGATTCTGTGAGAGGTAAACTGAATTCTTGTCTATCTGAAAATGTATTCATTTCTCTCAATACTGAATCATAGTTTGGTATAGAATCTTAGGTTCAAATTACTGAAGAAACTGATTTATTGTCTTCCTATAACTAGTGGTGTTGGTCAGAAGTCTGAATCTGATCTGATTCTCACAAATTCTGTCCTTAATCCAGTGTCTCTGGTATCGTTCAGGGTTTTCTCCATATCCTTGGTTCTCTAAAATTTTCTTCTACTGGGACTCTTAGTGTGTATATTTTGAATATTTTTTTCTTGCTTGGCTGCTTAAGGTTGATTCTTTCTTTCTTCAACTCTCATAAATTGTTTGGTTTTTTTTTTTTTCAACTATGAATTGCCCTTCTTCTTTTTTGCTTTCTTCTGGTATGTTTTTCAGATAGACATTGAAACTTTTAGATCTATCTGCCATATGCCTTCCCCTTTTTTGCATCTCTTCGCCTCTTTGGCTATATTCTGAGAAAACTTCCTAGCGCCATCTTCCAGCTCAGCAATTCATCCCTCGTCTAAATCCTTTTAGCTCTTCAGCTTGTTTTTTTTTTTTTTAGCTTTTTTATTTCAAAAACT